ACCAAATTCGTTGTCTTAGACCATAAGCCGGATGTGATACAACAAGGCAGTCCCAGCCAGAAATGTTCTAAGAACACTTCGCGGAAACCAGAAACAGGTTCTCAGAACATTGCTTGGTAGGCCTATAGGCACGCCAGGACGCTTCGCCACTGCTTGAATTGACCCCCGTCTCTTGAGCCCCGACTGCAGCGCTGCCTCCGGCCGCCGGCTTCCGCGGGGCTTCCGCCCGCGCACCTGCCGAGGCCGAGATGTCCCCTGCTCGGGTCCTCGAGCGCCGTGGCCGCTCCGGGACGTCACCCCCGAACAACCGACGACGTGACTTTGGTCTTGCAGCCCGCGCCACAGAGAGGTGTCGACCACTTTGAAGGGGCCCAGGGACACGCAAATTCGCTGGCCCAACGGGCCACAGGGGTGCTAAGATCTCCGGTAACTGGTTCACTAAATTTCTAATTCACGCGCGCGGGGCGCCCCCTGGGGGTCCCCGGGCGAAAAGTACCCCGGGCAAGTCCCGGGAGGAGACCCCGGACCTGGCAATTTTTCGACACCTCTCACTAAAATCGTGGCCTCCGAGGGGGGAGCCGCAATCGACTACCCCCCCTCCCGCCCCAAGAGGCCCACAAGAGCCCCCCAAGAGGCCCTGGGGGCCCCAAAGACGCCGCCAAGGAGCCCCAAGAGACTCCCAAGAGGTCCCCAAGAGGCCCCCAAGAGGACCCAAAGAGGGCTCCAGGGCCGGCGGAATGAGCGAAGCGATTATCAATAAATACACACAAGTCCCAGGATTCTCCATACGTTCCCACATCTTATGGGCTTGCGTTCTCCCCCCCACTTCCCATATTTTCCCATATGTTCCTGGGGATCGACGATTGCGTGTGTCTGTGTGTTTTCCCCCTCCTGACACTTTCCCTGGGGGGGGGGGGCCCGACGCGCGGACCGCGCGGCAGGCACGTGCACGTGCCGCTGCGGCAGCGCGCGGGGCTGTGCAAGGAGCACTTTGGCACCAGTTGCAGCTGGCTGTGGCGGGATCCCCCGCCCCGTCTGCGGTCGAGGAGCGACAGGCCGCCCTGAACTCGGCGCCCCTCCAACGGGGACTCCACTAATGGGTACTTTGGCCAGTGACCAGGCGAGCCCAATCCTCCCCGATGTGGGCAACGCTACAAAGCCAGAAAGAGGTCTGAAATGGCAACCTTCGGCAATTCCCCAAAGTACCCGTTAGAGAGAACCCGTTACGGTGCCGCCCTGAACAGCGCGTGCGACGAGACCGGCGCCGCATGCATCATCACAGGCGCCAAGGACCTGCTCAAGGAGTGCGGCGACGAAGGCGTGGCATTGGCGGAGGGGCTCTAGCAAGGTCCCCAAACTCCGGACTGCAGAAGCCCATCCAGCTCATGTTGGGCTGGCGAAGGCTGTGAACAAGGTGCTGGTCCCCGAGCCCAGAGAGGGTGATGTTGCGATGGTGAAGGTGACGGTCAACGAAAGAAAAAAAATGACGAGCGCATCGGCTGCGGAGCGCTGACGAGCGCACTCGGCAGCTTCAAGACGGAGTGCACTGAACACGTCAAGAAGCAACACATGGATAACTGCAGGACGGAACGATGGCCGAGTTGAGGGCCGTAGTAAGCGCCGCCAAGACCTTCACACTCAAGCATCTCCGCAGGAGCACGGGAGGGGATGCGCAAGTCGGAACAACCCTTCGGGAAAGGCCGAGGCGGGACCTCCTCCTCCCCTTTTTGTCCGCGCCGCACGGGCAAAGCCTCGAAGCCACCAGACTGGCCCCCCTCGAGGGTCGAGAGCAGGGGGTTTTGCGGCACACATCGGGGCTCGTCGCGTGGCACGATTGACTTCCGAATTGCGCATCGCGCGACTAACGTCTTCCTGCGGGGACCCATTCACAAAATGATGCGGCGGGAATGTGTGTGTGCTTCTGTGTGTGTGTGTGTTGGGGGGGGTAGGACTCGCCGCTTGTGCAGTTACAACCAGATGCTGTTATCAATGCTCTACAGTTGTTAGACACCCACACTGGGTCACAATTCCTGATGGTGCCGATGCTCCAGACTCACAATCGTGTTGTAGCAACTTTTACAGAAATGAGTCCCGTTGTGGCGCCCTTACAAAATGATGATTGTGCCGGATCTGCAGTGGCCTCCACAATTTCAAACCTCTCACAACATCCTGTACAGAAGGGATTTCCCCTTGTGGCGGCCTTGCAAGAGGGTTTGGATTGAGGGGGGATCTGCAGTGGCGGCACCTTGAGCCCAGGAAAGCTAGAGAGGAAAACAAGCAAACAAATAACAACATGAAAATGCCCGTGCTTTCACAATGCAGGGTAGGAAAAAAACTAGGAAGACCTGTGACCGTCTGTTTTTTCATGGTGCAGACGCTCTACACTTGAAATCTTGTTGTAGCAGCCTTTACACAAGGATTCGTCGTCTGGCGACCTTACAAAGGGATTATTTTTTTCCGTCTGTGCAGACCAAATGCTCCGCGAAACAGACATATCGCAGTCATAGCGGACGGGCTAAGGCTGGGGTTGACTGAATGGTGGCATCTCTCTTGCATGGTGGTGGAAGCATTCCACACACGCGCATGGCTAAAGAGTACGCCTGCTTCTCCGAAGAGAACGCTTGGTGATACAAAGAGGTGGGGAAGGGAAGAGCATACATTGGAGGAATGAGTGCGAATGATGGTAAGAAGCCATATGCTTGACCCTCGCGAGCCGTATATGAAGTGGCGATGGACTGCGACTTCCACTCTAGCCACTCGAAGCATCGGCTGTTAAGTAACGCTCTCTACTTTGTGCCATGAACCAAGCACTTCTGGAGCACCGAAGAGACGTTGAACAGCTGAGCGTTCGCCTTAGAGCCGTCACAGCGCACAGGCAAGACTGGACCAGCTTACCAATGGCCTCTCATTGTGCGTGGCGGTGGATCTACATTCCACACAACCAGCTTCAAAGCACTAATTGAGGAGCAAGCCTAAGCCGGCATGCATGGAGTGGCGACGGATTGCCTGCCGTCTTGGAAGATCCAAGAGCTTTGGGCAACACAGCACCTGTCAACCATCGCACGGCCATAATTGGGATTGACTGGGTTATGATCTTATTGCCTTCATGCCACCGCTTGCGCCGCCATTGGAGACTGGGGGCACGGGAGGAAGGGAAACGAGGGCGTAATGGCGAGGGCAGAACAGGAGGCGTGGAACAGCTGCTGCCAGCGCGTTTCGATCATCGGAGCGACAAAACGCTGCGGCGCAAAGGTGCTGGTGAGTCCGCAACTACGCTGGACCGCGAGCCCGCGAAATGTTGAATTCAACCTGGGATAACCCACTGACGCCCTCGACGGCCCATGGCGAGGGCAGTACGGGAGGGGGAACAGCTGCTGCCCGCGCGTTTCGGGCACCGGCGCGGCACAATGCAGTAGCACAAGGGCGCCCGTGAGCCCGAAACTGAGCGCGACTGTCCGAGATTTTACACTAGACAGATGCCCACGGCAGTCCCAGCCCGCGGAGTGCGTGGGCAGGTCGCGCGCAGAGACCAGCAAGCGTGGAGCAAGAGGGACATACCAAAATCATCCTCCATCTCCTCCTCTTTCTCTCCTCCTCCTCCTCCTCACCCTCCTCCGTGGGCAGGTCGCGCACAGGGACCTGCGAGCGTGGAGCAAGAGGGACATACAGAAATTTGCGAATACGCATGCCGCAGTCATTCGTCAATGCTCCCCCACCAATGATCAATGTTGGCAGTGGGTTGACATAGTGAGAAGGCACAAAATCCAACCCCAAGACCTATTCGCAAATAATTGCACATCGGCCGCAGTCTTCACCTCACGCGCGCCAACTTTGAACTTGGGAAGAAAGGGGGGAGCGCGAATTGTGTCCCTCTATCGTAAAGAACACCAGGACATGCCGCAAAGAGAAACTGTTCCAGCACAGTCGACGCGGCAGTCCACGTGGCAGAATAATGATTGCGGACGCGGTGGAAGTGCTTCCACTCGGCATGTAGCGCGACAAATCGTGTTCGTTGCCATCGCGGTGGAAGTGTTCCACTCGGCGCGCAACATCAGTCGACTAGTGGGAGCTCCTTTGCCTGCGACGCGCTCGGGACGATCAAAAAATTAGTGGGCGCACTGCCGGAGCGCTCCCAAAGTCAAAAGAGGCTCCGCCGGAGTGCTTCGGGTCGGCGCTGGACCCTCTCGGCCGCCCCCGGGGCGTCGGGTCGGGCATGGGCCCCTGCAGGGGGGAAACTGGACGGACAACGAAAAACAGTTGGACAAATCTTCAAAGAATCAGAAACACAAACGAAACCTCGTCCCCAGATCATGTGTTTGACTATGTTTGAACATGCCTCCTGTAGAGGGCCACGCCCGACTTCAAATGCTGGACGCTCTCGGCCGCCCCCCTGGCGCCACTCCGTGGCCGCCCCTGGCGCCCTCTTGGGGGGGGGGGGCACAGCGCCGACCACACGAAAGCCGCGCGTGCCTCCGAAATTCGGTGCTCCTGCCGATTCCTCCACCGCCTCCGCCACCTCCTCCTCTGAGAGCATCCCCCACCCCCCTCCTGCTCCTACAAGTTGCCAGAAGCAGCGCCGTGAGAGGGCGGCGGTGGGCGTCGTGCCACTCGTGCCGCCTGTCAGAGGTCTCTACCGAGCAGACCGAGGCGCAAGAGGGGGCCCTGGTGTTCATCGCCGAGCGCAGTGGTCCCGCGGCGCAGGAAAATCGACGAGAAGGAGCAGAATGGCGGTTTACCTTGGAATAAGAGCCTCCCCCCATCCCCATTCCGGCCAGCAGACAAGGGCTGCCGCTGGACGCGGCTCGCTATCAACTTGTCAGTTTGTCGACCCCGGGAGGGGTCTGGAGACAGATGCTGGGCGAGCTTGCCCTCATCCCCTCCTCTCTTGGCTGACTCCCTCGGGGCGTGGCCGGCTCAGCCCCCCCAGCCGCCTCCAAAATCCGCCGGCACTGTCGGTGTGAAGAGGCTGTTCCGTTTGACTCGTCGTCGTCGTCACGTCTCAGGATAGCAAGCGGGCCCAGGGGAAGGGGCCCAGAAATCTGGGGGGACGCGTGGTGCAAGAATCACGGCGTCGGAGCGCTGAGGGAGCAGCCTGATTCAAAGTTCTGAGGAAGCCGCCTGGTCCACGAGCGACGGTGACGCTGGTCACTGTGCCACAAGGGCCGCCTGGCGGAGGTCGCCACTGAGCACGCACGATGTCAAGGGTCGTGCTGCAGGCAGGCCCTGATTCGAGCTCGGGGCTCATACACATCCACCACGCGACTGCAAAACAATGTGATCAGAGACACTTCAACGAAGGCCGCTTGGGAGGCCAGGATGCAGCAAGCCGCGTGCTCACGTGCGCCTTCAGTCCTCGTAGTGCTCAGGCGCCGCCTCCCGCAGCAGCGCGGCGAGCTGCTCGGGGCGGAGGCGGCCCCAGGGAGCCGCTGAGGGCGCGCACGGCGGGGGCGGCGGGCTCGCCTTGGCGGCCTCCTCCGCTGGGCTGCGCGCCGGGGCGGGGGCCCGCTGGCTGGCGCCGGGGCTGGCCAGGGAGGCCAGCTGAGCCGACAGGTCCAGCGAGGCGCAGGCCAGGAGCCTGCAAGGCTGCACGCGCTCCAGCAGAGGCATCGAGCCTGCTGCGCTGTCGTGCTCGCCCTGCTTTCGGAGGAGCGCGCGGGGCTTCCTGCCGAGGAGCGCCTCCAGGCCGTGGTGGAAGTGGCAGCAGTTGCACAGGCGCCCCTGGGGGCAGGGGGTCCCGGTCATGGTGTGGCGGCACGGCGTGCACTTGCCGCGGTGGTGGTTCTTGGACCCACGGGAGAAGGCGCCCATGAGGTGTTTGGAGGGGGCGCCTCCTCGATCGCGCCCCCACGGCTGCCCCGGCTCGCGGTGCTGCCGCTCCTCTGGCAGCGAGGGCGGAGGTGAGGCCGCCAGCGCCTCCCAGCCACGGGCTTCACCGTGGCCTTGGGGGGCCGTTAGCAGGTCTCCTCCACTCCGCCGCTGCTGCTGCTGCGAGCCGTCGTGCTGATGGCCGCCACCCATCGTTGATGAAGCTGGGCAAACAGGCCTCGAGAGATTCGGGTTCGCTGAAGACGGCTTGAGCCAAAATGACCTTACAAAGGGATTTTTGGTGTGGGGGATCTGCACTGGCCTCCACAATTGCAACCCTCTCGTAGCGGCCAATGCAAAAACAACTATATACTCCTTTTGGTGTGGGGGATCTGCAGTGGCGGCACCCCGAGCCAAGGAAAGCTAACGAGGAAAACAAGAAAAGCAAGAAACAGCTAGGAATACTTGTGGCTGTCGGCATCCTGTACGGTACACACGCTACAAACATTAAAAACCCTTGTTGTAGCAGCCTTTACTCAAGGATCCCGTTTGTGACGACCTTACAAACATATTTTAAGTGTGGGGGTTTAGCAGTGGCTTCCACACTTAGAAACCTTGCGTAGCAGCCTGTACACAGGGATTCCTTGAATGGCAGCCTTACACATTGATTCAAACTGTTGGCGACTTGCAATTGCGGCGCCTTGAGCCCAGGAACGCTACGGGAGGAAAACAAGAAAGAACAGGAAACACATAAAACAATATGCTCTCGTAAGGGAAGATAAGACAAGGGTAGGACAACAGGTCACTGCCTGTAAGGTATTTGCACACGCGCGTTCCACAATTAAACTCATCTTGTAGCAGCCTTTGCAAACGGATTCGTGTTGTGGCGGCCTTACATAACGATTATCAGTGTAGGGCGTCAACACCATAGAAATACAGACAATCTTAAGATGCCTTAGGTTGTCCCGATTTCCCGGTGAAGAGAACACAAGTTTGTTCATGCGTGTGCTGTTTATTCCTGATTTCCTCTGTAGCTTTCCTGGGCTCAAGGCGCCTCAGTGCATATCGCCCACATGTTTAATATCTTTTGAGGCCGCCACAAAAGGAATCCCCTTTGTACAGACTGCTAGGAAACGCAGCAGGTCCCACTCGTAACACCCTGTTTTGTAACGTCGCCACACAAGGAATGATTTGTGTGAAAGCTTCTACACGAGGATTGCAATTGTGGGAAACCTGCGCCGTAAACAAACAGACAGTCACAAGTATTCCTAGCTGCTTGCATTATTTAAGACGTGGAAACAAACATTTGTTTTCGGTGATTCCTTTTTTTTTTCTGGGGTATTCTCTGGCTCTCCCGGGCGCAAGGGGCGCCAATGCAGATCCCCTCGTAATTGAAACTATGGTGTATGGCCGCCACACAAAGAATTTTGCGTAAAGGTCGCTACGCAAGGAATCCTTGCGTAAACGCTTCTACAAGAGGATTGTAATTTTGGAGCGTGCGCGCCATAAACACACACCATCACAGGTAGTTCTACGTGTTGAACATATGTTTAATGAAAACAAGCGTTTGGTCAGTTTGTCCCTTATTTCTGGGTTTCCTCTCTAGCTTTTCTGGGCTCGACCTGCCGTCGCTGCAGATCCCCCAGCAACACTTTTTTTTGTGCAAGGCCGCCACACAAGGATTTGTTGTTGCACAGGCTGCTACTCAAGAGCTATAACTGTGGAAGCCACCGCAGATATCCCATGCATTAAGCCATTTCGTTTCAAAAGGCTGCTACGAAACATGAATTTGAGTGTGGAGGGTCTGCGCCATGAAAATAATGGCTCTCACAGGTGTTCGTAGGTGTCTCCTTATTTCCTTGTGAACGTACTAGATGTTCCATGTGTGTTCCTGTTTTTCCCGTTTTCACGTCGAGCTCTCCTGCAGTCAAAGTGCCACCACTGCAAATCATCCCCTTATCCGAACCCTTTCGTAAGCCCGCCACAAACAAGAATCCGTTGTGCACAGGCTGATACAACCGGTTTTTGGATGTGGGGGTTGTGCGTATCCCCCTACAAAATATGTTGCGGGTGAGGTCGCCCTAAAAAGGATTTGTTTTCCTGAATGCTGCGGCCCCACGATTGTAATTGTGAGGCGATTCCATGACACGAATGCAACAAAGCTGGGGGAACGATGTAAATCATCTACAGACATTCATGAATCATCAATCGGCGACTCGCCATATCATTGACGAGCAAAATGATACCAGGATAGTGATAACGCTGAGAACCATAGCGCGGCAATCAGTTCAAGATGAAACCAATCAAGAAACACGCTTGCAATGATGCAAACAGCGGGTCGGACGGGGGGGGGGCGGAGGCGGGGGGGGGCGGCGGAGGGGGCGGGGTGGCGCCTGTATGGGGCCAGGCGAAGAGCTGTCACGGTTGCGGGGGTGGCATGGGGGACGGGTCGTGGCGGGGGTCGGAGACGCCAGAAAATGCCCCGGCGAAAGTCCCAACCAAATGAAATTGCGAATGGTGGCACCGCTTTCGGAACTCCCACTAGGGGCCACGAACCGCGTGAGATGTGCGCCAAAATGGGGTAGCGCCACCGCGCGAACCCTGTAACTGGGGCCCTTGCTGGAGCTCCCTGCGGGGCCACGAACCGCGCGATGGGGTGGGCCAATATGAGGCGGCGCCGCCATGCGAACCCTGCCACTGGGACCTTCTTCCCGCCCTGCAGCAAGGCGCGCAACGTGCCCCGATCTGCTCCTGCGGCTTGCAGCGGGCTCCGAGCCCTCTTGGCCCAGCGCTGGGGGCTGGCAAACGGCTGCCACGTCGGCGGACTGCCCGACGCAGACGCGCCAGCCCCCCGCGCGCGAGACGGGCCCATGGAGAGACGAGCCTCGCCCGCAGGTGTCCGCTCATGAGCAGCCTTCCTCTCGTGGGGGTCGCCCCCCATCGTGGTCGCGTTGGCCTTGGGCCGCATGCTGCTCTGGGCCTCCTCGGCCCTGACCTCCTCGCAAGACGCCCCGAAATCTCGGTGCTTGCCATTGACCTCATTGGCGCGCCGGTCGCGCCGCGCGCGAGCGCCCCGTGGCCGCCGAAAATGCGCGACCGTTGGCCCCAGTCGCCCTCTACTTCCAACGAGTCCGCAGCGGACCTCGGCGTCGCCGGCGCCTCGGCGCTGGGCGCCAGGGCCGCTCCTGGCTGCGGGGGTCTCGCGCGCCCCCCCGGCCGCCTGGCCCCCGTCGCCCTCGCGAGGGCCCGCGGGCAGCGCGCCCGCGACGGCGTCGCCCTCCTTGTCGTCGCGCGCCTCTGACTGCAGCCCGCCCCCGAGCGCCCGCGCAGCCGCCGCGGCCCCGGCGCGCAGAGGGGCCGACGCCGCCGGCCGCTCCGCGGCCCCACTGACGCCCGCATCAGGCGAAGGCCTTCGCCGCGCTGTGCTTCTGGAAGGACTCGCGGGCGCCCTCCGCGCCGGGCCCCGCCCGAAGGCAGCTCGAGCGCCGGATAGCCCGGGCGCCTCGGGCGCCGCCCATCGCCTGGGTCACCTCGTGCTTGGTCGGGGCGAATCTCAGGGCGGCGTTCGGGAACTCCGTCTAGCAATCGTTGACGTCGACCTCGAAGTCAACCGCCCCGCTGCTGGCCCTCGCAACTCAAGCGATCCACAAGGCCGTCTCGTCCGCGGTGAGTGCCCTCCTGTGTCTCGCTGGCCCGTTGCGCCCAGGCGCCTGGAACTCCCGCGCCGCGAACTTCGAGCACCTCTTCGCCTCGCGGTTGCTGCGCCTCCGCCGCGGCGTGATCTGGCCGCCATCTGCGCCCTCGCGCGCGCCGCGCCCCTTGGCCCACGGCGCCGCGAGGCCAGGGTCGCCCAGCTCGCCGAGCTGATGCGGCGCGTGCCATATCCTCCTCCAGACCTCGACCATGACGAACTTCCGGGAGGCCGTCGCTGCGCGGCCCCTTTCTGACAACACCATCGCCGCGCAATGGTCGGCGCCGCCGAGCGCTTCGACGTCGCCGGCAGCGCGAGCAGCTCGGCGCCGCCTGCCGTCTGGATCGGGCACGGCAGAAGGGGCGCCGAGCGCCTTTTGCGCCCTCGTAGCGGCGCACGTCAGCGAACAGCTCCGCGGCCATGAAGGGCGCGCCTGCGCCTTGTAGCCGCTGCAGCCCGTCGTGGATGCCGTCCTGGAGCGGCCTCCAACTGCGCCCGGGCTCGGGGGGCGTCGCCCACTTTGCCCGCGCGCGGATCGCTATGCTGGTCTGGAATGGCTCGGGCTTGGAGATGTCGTCCGTCTGCCATAATCTGGATCAGCTCTCGGCACATGTCAAGCGGCGGTGCCAGAGCGCGACGATCTCGCGCGGGCAGGGCTCGCAGAACGGCGCGGGCGCCAGTCGCGGGGCCGCCCCCCGCCTTCGCGCTCGCTACCACTGCCAGTGCGCGATCGGGGACCTGGCGTGGCCCATCTCCATGTCCGAGAGCGGCCCCCCCTTTCCGCCCCGTCTTCCGCGGGCGCGGCCCCTCTAGCGATCGACCTGCGCAGCTGGCTCGCGATAGCTCCGTTCTCGACGCCCGCGCGCGCGTCGGTCGCAATGCGCTTCAACTGCCGAGCCTTCGCGTCGGGGCGAAGGACCTGCTAGGCGCGCCAGGGCGAGGCCTCGAACGCAAGGAGCGACCCCCGTGGGGCCGCGCACGCCAGAGCTCCAACCGGCACCTGGGCGGCGCCGAAGGTCGGGTCGAGCTTGGAAGGGCCGCCGAGAGGCACGCAGCCGGTCGTAGACTCGCCGCGCAGCCCGCGCCCGATTGTTCCGCGCGCCAGCGCGCGCCTGGCCGACCTCGCTCGCGCCGGGCCCCGCGCCGGCGACTCCGCCGCTGCGACTCGGGGATCTTCTGACCCGGGTCAATCCAGACCCGGGTCAGCCAAGCCTTGCAGAATCCTGCAAGATCCTGCCAGACCCTGCACCCAAACCCGGGTCAATGCGAAGGATCCTGCAAGATCCTGCAGGATCCTGCACCCAAGCCCGGGTCAATGGGAGCCTGGCCCTGCAGGATCTTGCAAGATCTTGCGCTCTGGCTGACCCCCGTTTGCATTGACCCCCGTCTCAAGGCTTCCGAGCGACGCGGCCCTTGTAGCCACCGGGTGCGGGGTAGACGTGGATTCGCGATGTCGGGCCTCCGTTGCCGAGCCAGATTCGCCCTGGCAGGCCTCGGCGCGATCGGCGCCGAGGTTGCGCTCGCGGGTCGCATCCAACACCCCCGGCCCCTTGGCCAGCGTCGCCAGGATGCCATTGCGCAGCTTCGCGAAGCTGGCGAGCACTCTGGACTACTTGACCGCCGCCCTGAGCTTGACC